CCTAACCCAGACCTAACCCAGACCTAACCCAGACCTAACCCAAATCCAATCCAGACCTAACCCAGACCTAATCTAGACCTAATCCAGACCTAACCCAGACCTAACCCAAATCCAATCCAGACCTAATCCAGACCTAACCCAGACCTAATCTAGACCTAAGCCAGACCTAACCCAGACCTAACCCAAACCTAACCCAGACCTAACTCCCGTTATCAGCGATGAATTGGTCTGGGTTAGGTCTGGGTTAGGTTTGGGTTAGGTCTGGGTTAGGTCTGGATTAAGTCTGGGTTAGGTCTGGGTTAGGTCTGGAATAAGTCTGAATTAAGTCTGGGTTAGGTCTGGGTTAGGTCTGGAATAAGTTTGAATTAAGTCTGGGTTAGGTCTGGAATAAGTTTGAATTAAGTCTGGGTTAGGTCTGGGTTAGGTCTGGAATAACTCTGAATTAAGTCTGGGTTAGGTCTGAATTAAGTCTGGGTTAGGTCTGGGTTATTTTATTCTTTTATATATACAGGGTGTTTCCTTAACTTTTGCCCACCTTTTTCCAAGCACTTCTGTGAATCTGACAAAAAAATGTTTCCAACAAAAGTTTATCAATGTTTTATGTAGTACAAGGTAAAATACTGAATTTACAAAAATTATTATTTTTTCAATAAGAAATCGGTTACACCTTGATTTTTTTAAATAGCGTTGCATATTTTTTACTTCATATTATTATAGCTTGTGTTAAGACGAATTCAACGACCCGCTATAGCATGACCTTCGGATGACCTTGAACTGAAAAAATTGACTTCAATCAGCAGAAACGAAATGCGTAATGAAAATGTTGTATGTCACAGAATTCCGTTGCGGCTTTACGATAATCTACTATTTACTTTCATCATAAAGCTGTTATTAGATTTTCAACCATTTACTAACTTGCTGATAGTTTAAAATTATAAGAAAGAGTGTATGCATGTGTGTAAAAGTTAAGGAAACACCCTGTATATAGGTGACAGAACTTTTAACAGTAGAACTGTAGCAATGAATTCTCAAATTAAAATGTTAAAGAAAATAAATTTTAAAAGGCTTCGTAAATTTAAATGAGGTTAGAAAAGTAACTATTTCAACTTTTAAGTTGCGTAGTTTACAATTGCCTGAAATGAAAGTTTCGGTTCCGTAAACAATTTTAGGATTTTAGACAGCCAACGTGCTAACAGGTGAAATCATTCTTTGTTTCTCTTTCGTTCCACGCGGCTAATAAACTCGCTTTTGAACTTGGCGGAAAAGGATGACGCAGAGCCACGGAATGCGCGAAACGCTCTCGCGTACTGAAATCGTTTCCATTTCGAGCGAGGAAAAGGGGGACGGCGTGGACGCGCTTACATTATGCGCTTAGTTTGCATCTCGCGAACGAGAACGCCTGTTTCTCTATCGCGTGCCGCCGGAGATACGGCGCAAGAGTGAAATACAGTTCAGGAAAGTGATCTCGTCGAAAGCACCGCGGAGGCTTGGCACAGTTTCTTCGAAGTGAAAGAAGATTCTATACAATCGTGAATTCCTTTACATTATTACAGGTTGTTATATTAACCCTTTTAGTGCCGAACGACGATATATCGTTGCGTATGCGATGGTGCCTTATTCTTCGCATTAGGAGAAAGCTGTGTATCAAAAAAAAATTTGTAAAACGTTATAAAGGGTCTAATTTTATTGCAAAAGCATTTAAAAAATTATTTTTAGCTGCGGGGGTCAATTAGAATAATTTTTGGTGAATACACATACCCTCGAATTACAACCCACTTTCGAGAAAAAAATTCGAGAAGGTGCTGGAATTTTTTGGCAAAAAAGAAATTTCTCAAATCGTTCTAAAAAAAATTATTTTCCGGTGCACAGGTCCATTGCAATCATTTTCGGTCATTACGCATAACCCTGAAATCCTACCCAGTTTCGAGAAAAAAATTCGAGTAGGTACTGAAATTTTTCGACAAAATTAAAAAATTTCAAATCATTCTGAAAAAATTATTCTTAGCTGCGGGGGTCATTTAGAATAATTTTTGGTGAATACACATACCCTCGAATTACAACCCACTTTCGAGAAAAAAATTCGAGAAGGTGCTGGTATTTTTTGGCAAAAAAGAAATTTCTCAAATCGTTCTAAAAAAAATTATTTTCCGGTGCACAGGTCCATTGCAATCATTTTTGGTCATTACACATAACCCTGAAATCCTACCCAGTTTCGAGAAAAAAATTCGAGTAGGTACTGAAATTTTTCGACAAAATTAAAAAATTTCAAATCATTCTGAAAAAATTATTCTTAGCTGCGGGGGTCATTTAGAATAATTTTTGGTGAATACACATACCCTCGAATTACAACCCACTTTCGAGAAAAAAATTCGAGAAGGTGCTGGTATTTTTTGGCAAAAAAGAAATTTCTCAAATCGTTCTAAAAAAATTATTTTCCGGTGCACAGGTCCATTGCAATCATTTTTGGTCATTACACATAACCCTGAAATCCTACCCAGTTTCGAGAAAAAAATTCGAGTAGGTACTGAAATTTTTCGACAAAATTAAAAAATTTTAAATCATTCTGAAAAAATTATTTTTAGCTGCGGGGGTCATTTAGAATAATTTTTGGTGAATACACATACCCTCGAATTACAACCCACTTTCGAGAAAAAAATTCGGGTAGATGCTGGAATTTTTCGGCAAAAAAGAAATTTCTCAAATCGTTCTAAAAAAAATTATTTTCCGGTGCACAGGTTCATTGCAATGATTTTTGGTCATTACACATAATCCTGAAATCCTACCCAGTTTCGAGAAAAAAATTCGAGTAGGTACTGAAATTTTTCGACAAAATTAAAAAATTTCAAATCATTCTGAAAAAATTATTCTTAGCTGCGGGGGTCATTTAGAATAATTTTTGGTGAATACACATACCCTCGAATTACAACCCACTTTCGAGAAAAAAATTCGAGAAGGTGCTGGTATTTTTTGGCAAAAAAGAAATTTCTCAAATCGTTCTAAAAAAATTATTTTCCGGTGCACAAGTCCATTGCAATCATTTTCGGTCATTACGCATAACCCTGAAATCCTACCCAGTTTCGAGAAAAAAATTCGAGTAGGTACTGAAATTTTTCGACAAAATTAAAAAATTTCAAATCATTCTGAAAAAATTATTTTTAGCTACGGGGGTCAATTAGAATAATTTTTGGTGAATACACATACCCTCGAATTACAACCCACTTTCGAGAAAAAAATTCGAGAAGGTGCTGGAATTTTTCGGCGAAAAAGAAATTTCTCAAATCGTTCTAAAAAAAATTATTTTCCGGTGCACAAGTCCATTGCAATCATTTTTGGTCATTACACATAACCCTGAAATCCTACCCAGTTTCGAGAAAAAAATTCGAGTAGGTACTGAAATTTTTCGACAAAATTAAAAAATTTCAAATCATTCTGAAAAAATTATTTTTAGCTGCGGGGGTCATTTAGAATAATTTTTGGTGAATACACATACCCTCGAATTACAACCCACTTTCGAGAAAAAAATTCGAGAAGGTGCTGGAATTTTTTGGCAAAAAAGAAATTTCTCAAATCGTTCTAAAAAAAATTATTTTCCGGTGCACAGGTCCATTGCAATCATTTTTGGTCATTACGCATAACCCTGAAATCCTACCCAGTTTCGAGAAAAAAATTCGAGTAGGTACTGAAATTTTTCGACAAAATTAAAAAATTTCAAATCATTCTGAAAAAATTATTTTTAGCTGCGGGGGTCATTTAGAATAATTTTTGGTGAATACACATACCCTCGAATTACAACCCACTTTCGAGAAAAAAATTCGGGTAGATGCTGGAATTTTTTGGCGAAAAAGAAATTTCTCAAATCGTATTAAAAGAATTATTTTCCGGTGCACAAGTCCATTGCAATCATTTTTGGTCATTACACATACCCCCGAAATCCTGCGCATTTTCGAGAAAAAAAATTCTTTACCGCAAATATAATGTGAAGCCAGAAATGCATCACCGAATGCGCAGCATGCGAATTTTTAAAATGACGTAACTTTTGAACGGCTTGGGCGATTTTAATGTTTCAAAAGGCAAACGACGCGTATTTTAGTGGAGAATATATAAAAATTCTAATGATATTGAAAAAGTTGTTCCTCGACATTGTAAAGTGAGAAAAACTCCCTAAAACTGGTCCAATTTTCAAACAGCCATAACTCCTACAATAGTAAGGGTATCTCATTGAAAAATTTTTCTCAAGTAGAGCCCATGTGTATCTACAATAAAGTATTAGACAACTTTTCTGTAGAACGTTAAACAAATTTATTAAAAATAGAAATTCGAAGACTAAAAAAGTAAAGTTGCTCTTTAAACCCGTAAAATGAGAAAAACGCCATGAAAATGATCCAATCTGCAAACGTCTATAATAGTAAATTTGATTTCATTGGAATTTAGTCTGGAAGTAGAGCACATGGAGACTCACAAAAAAGTACTAAACAATATTTCCATAGAGCGTCAAACGCATTTAATAAAAATCAAAAACGAATTTTGAAGAAAAATCGACAGAGAGTAGGTGCGTAAATTTTAAATATTGTACAATGTTATGGATAAAAGTTACAAAATTGGGTCCTCTTGGTGATTTTTAACGAGCATGATAGGCTATTTAATTTTGTGTCGCTTATAAATATTTTTCCAAGAATATTGGTAATGGATTAGCGATGCTTTCCCGATGAAAATAAGTTTAAACTCGGCCCTATTCAGGCTACATTCAATTATTCGCTTTTTGCGAACTGTATAAAGAAAAATAATTGTGTAAAATTTTTCAGAAGCATTTTGAATAACGTACAATTAAAAATAGACTAAACAAAGTCGTATTTGATCTAATTTTCATTAAAAGAGTTCTCATCAAGTGATCGAGTATTTTAGTAATGAGTAATATAGTAATTTTAAGTTGTATCCCAAGTTGTTTGGCATCAAGAATAATCAAGAATAAGTTATAAATAAATATGATTTTTTTGTTTCAGGTGTCGGTGAACAAGACAATCTCAGACCGACAATATGAGGAATTCAACGCTGCTAAAGTGGACGCAGAACTCCGCGAACAGTAAAAATCAGACGAACAAGAATGGTGAGTCCTTGACATTCTAATAAGCAAACATAACCCTACTATTATTTGCCTGCAAGAAACTAATTTTAAGAATGATTATTGCCCTACGTTGCGTCAGTACAACTCCTATAAAAATCGCATTTAAGCTCACTATGCCAGTGGTGGTGTTGCTACCTTCATCAAAAAGAACTTAGGCTCTCAGAAAAGGGGGGGACCTCTATGTAGAAATCCGAAATTTAGCCGATTTTCAAGAATTATTTCAAAGTATAAAGAATTAATAAATATTTCTAAGGTTTTGAGGACTATTTCGATCATACTTCAATTTCATTTTGCAATTTTTTTTGTTCAAATCAGATGCAAAATGGCGGAGATACAGCATGATTTGCTAGAAGCGTCGCATGACGTCTTCCAAAACGGTGTACACTCTAGTTTTTATTATCCGAATCTGCCAAGCAACGAAATATGATTAGTATATAACAATAGTAAATGGATGAACCGAAGATATTGAAAGAAAATTAAAAATTGGAAAAGTGGCGGACCTCCGAGCAAAAAGCTTAATATTTCAAAGCAGACTTGAACTCGTTTTTGCATTAAAAATGATGTTTATTTCCGTGATTTTAACTTACTTTTAAGTTCATCCAGGAGACATTGCTACCATTAAAATGTGTATTAAATTTCAGTCGGATAAGTTGAGTAGTTTTTGAGTAATCGTGTACGCCGATTTTGAACTTGGCGAAAAAAGAAGTTTCGAGTAAATCGCGTTTAAAGTTTTGGCAAGAGAAATATGTATGATTTTGTGGCTTTCTGGCTAGTCTGCTGTTCCAGCACCGCATAATAATCCTTCTGCTTCCTCAAAATAGTCATTTTGCTTCGCCAATTGTTTTCTACGTGCTGTACGGGCCTCTTTTGTTGACAACGAGCTGCGCCTTTCTTGCCTCTGAATCCGACGCTGATTAGTTTTCTCGGCATAATCCATTGCTTGTTTTCCAATTGTCAGTTGTAGTTCCTGCACTATTCTTAGGGTTGAAAAATAGCCTTCGTTAAAAATACTGCCTGCTATAAATTCAGCAATTTCCACTATTTTCAATCCAGAATGGAGGTGCTTCGGAGCCAAACACCAGACGGTTGAGTCGAAGCTCTCATTAGCGTCTTGTGTACGACCGCCTAAACATTTCTGCAGCAAATCTTCGTTTGATAATTCTTCGTAAACCGGAAGAATATGCTTCCGCACATCAGGGTGAAGAGGCGGAGGATGATTCAAATTATCAGTGCTCGTTTCGAGTGCTTCGGTTTTTTTTCCATTTGCACCAACTTTCTTCTTCCGTCAGACAATGCTCATGCCTCGAATTTTCATTCGTTTAACATGAATGATAATATGTAGCCATTATAGCGTTTTTCATCTCGATAACATTGTTTATATTTCTTCTAATAGCTAATCCATAATAAGATTGAAGTTTTTTGATAAGAGTATCCGTTGATATTCCTTTACCACCAAGTTTATTGGTCTTTTTAACATTTCGAAGCCGAGTACCCATTCTCTTCTCTACGTGGCCAATACACTCACTTTTTTTTACTCCAAATTCATCGCCATATGGATTTACATTTAAAATCGCTTTGAATGTTTTTGAATCTCCAAACGCAAGAAGTACCAGCGCAACAATCCTGAACGAAAAACTGTGTTACTCGTTACTCTGCGACAAATTCATCTGCTAATTGTAACAGGAAACGCTGTCTCGGTATCTTTATTCCAGTTGTTGCCTGATAGAGTATCCATGCATTGATTCCAACGAAATCCAATTTAGTGAAAAGTACGTGTACTAGGCTATCTACTGCATTTTGATTTTACGCTATGTTTTCGCGCCATTTGGTCAACCATATCGACGCCAAATTTAGTTTTATTATAATAACTAATTGTTTTCTTTCCATTGATTTTGGTTCTGACGCATTTATGCTTTGAACTTAGTATCCTAATTCTTTTTGTTGGTTTTGATTTATAAGTTGTCAGCGTACAGTCATTTAGATTTATACAGGGTGTTCGGCCATCTCTCGGAAAAATTTTAATTTTAAAGGGAAATTTTAGAGATCAAAATAAGATGATAATCAAGAATATCAATTTCTTGACTTTGTTAAAAAGTTATTAAAAAATTTCGAATCGTTCTAAAAAAATTATTTTTCGTTGCAGGGGTTAATTATAATTATTTTTGGTCGGTAGACATACCCTCGAAATCCTAACCATTGTCGAGAAAAAAATTCCTCACCGAAAATATAATTTCAGGCCAGAAAGAAATGCCACTCGAATATTTCTTGCGTATCTTTAAAACGTCATAACTTCTGAACAGATTGTACGATTTTAATTTTCCAAAATACAAACTATGCGTATTTTAGTGAAGAATATGTGAGGATTCTAAAAATATTCGAAATGTTATTCCTTGACTCCGCAAAATGAGAAAAGCCACAGAAAAATGGTCCAATTTTCAAATGTTCATAACTCCTGCAATAGTGAATATATTTCAATGAAACTTTTTTCTGAAGTAGAGCCCACGGGCGCCTACAAAAAAGTGTTGGACAACTTTTTTGTAGGGAGTCAAACAAAATTATTAAAAATCAGAAACGAATTATTTACTTCTGAACAGCACGATCAGCGTGATCTAAATAGTCGTCACTAGACTGCGAATGTTTATGCATTTATGGAGGATTTTAATTCTCAAGAATCTACAGAATGCACTTAATATGCAAAAATATAAGAAATATTTAAAGTAAGATACGAATTATTATACTTAAGGGTTGAGACAATCTACAAAACACCCATTTCATTAATTCTATTAATAAAAATATGAATTTGCATAAAGATCCGCAGTCTGGTCATCGCTATATGTATATTGGGCTCACATAAAATTGACCAGAGAGGACATATGATTGAAAAAACTCCCAGAGGACCATAACATATCTCTTTTAAATAATAATCAACCAACTCATTTCAATAGCAGCTATAACTCTTTCAGCGCCATTGACCTCTCACGATAGCGGCCATTTTCCTATTACGATATAAAATCTTCACTCGAACCCCCTGGAACATCCCAAGTTCACACATTCTCTACTGAAAAAAGCTAATTGAAACAAACATAAAGAAGCTATTTCGCAAAAATTAGAAAGTCTAAAAGTCCAAACTTTTTCACGGCTACTCCCTGATACAAATAACAAAGTGAACGCATTTACTGTGGTGGATCGGCTAGTTACGGTCCTGGGTAGTCGCAGCGCCACGCGGCGGAGAGCGAGAGAGTTAGAGTGTGGGCGAGTGAGTCGAGTAATCTTTACGATGCGAGCCTATTCTTTGTAATTCACATATACCTATAATAAACTATTAATTTCACTACACAAACCACGACTTGGTTATTCAGACACTACATTACAAATATTGTTATAGAATCCGCTAATGAATCTATCCCAAAAATTACATATAGATTTCACAGAAAGCAAATTCCAAGGTGGAATGACAAGCGACATTTATAAATAAACAAATAAATAATAAGAATGATGAGTTGATTTCACTGTGAGTTGCGCGTTAAACCGTAGAGCTTACTCTAATGACATCGTTGAATTCTGTTTTCAGGAACGAGTAGGAATTGGATACACCCACCGGATGCGCTCCAGAAAGGCCACATCGCCTACTTAGTCAAGGTATAGTACACTTTCGTCGCTAGAAATTCGTTTGCGTTTACAGTTTCAAATCAACGCATAATACAAAAGAAATGTACAGTGCCGAACAAAAGTATTGGCACAGACCGCATTTTCAAATAAAATGTTACGTAACTGCGAACAAAGCATAATATCTTCCTTATTTTTGGTAGAAAATATAAGTTCGAGGTTTGAACTTTAAGTATCTCGCGAAACAAAGCGATCAAGTAGACCTGTAATAATAAAAAATAGTAACGAACACATACAGGGCAGTTCTCGACGAAACAAAAGCATTGGCACACTTGCTATTTCATAATACAATATTCAAATTAATATTTTGTAATCCTTTTTGTCTTATTACACTTTGTAACCGATCAGGCATCGAATGTACTAAATTTTGTGTTACTTCTGAACCTGTTTCGTTCCATTCCTTCATAGGTGCGTCTTTTAATTGCTTCTTTGTCCGAATAAGGTGTTTTCGGATCCTTCTTTCTAACTCATTCCATATAAATTCACTTGAATTTAAATTCAGCGATTGAGGAGGGGTTGGCAATGTATTGGGGTGTATTAAAAACGATCCATTGGCGGACAATATAAGCAGTATGCTTGGGATCATGATCTTGTTAGAAATAATAATTTTCCCCAAGATTTAATTTTTCCACACTTCTTTTTAACTTTTCTTTCAAAATATTTAAACATACAAATTTATCCATAATACCGTCTATAAAAACTAGTTCTACAAGTCCGGAGGAACTCGTACAACCCCATACCAATACACTACCACCCCCGTGTTTAACAGTTGAGACCATGTTATGCGAATCCCTAACTAACTCGGTATTACGCTTTCGCCATATTCTTATTTGACCATCAGATTTAAAAATATTAAATTTACTTTCGTCAGAGAAGAGTATTCTATCCCAAAATTCTAAATTTTTGTGTACATACATCTGTGCAAACTCTAATCTGTTTTTTCGATTAATTTTGCCGATCAATGGTTTTCTTCCAGCCACTCTTGAATTGTGCACTTTTAAGAACTCTCCGGGTAGTTATAGGATGTACATCTACCTTATTTTCACTTTTCATTTGTGCCGCTATTTCTCTAGAGGCAACTTTAGGATTTTTTTCTACAATCTTGGTAATTTTCTGTTTATCTCGTTCTGATCATTTCTGTGGACGACCACTTCGCGGAAGATTTTTTACATTTTGTTCGTCAGGAAACCGTTTAACGATATTTCTTACGGTGAAACGACTTCTATTTACTATTTTAGCTATCGTAGAATATGAATTTCCCTCTTTTGATCATTTTAATAGAATTTTTCTCTCTGAAATTGTTGTTTCTCGTGTTTTTCGATACATCGTTGTGTTATTCACTTTATTACAGGAAAACTTGGTAAGAAATAATGAATATCAAATTGAATCTCGAGACTTCCCTGGATACAACAGTCATGCCAATATTATAAATATTTACACAAGTGTTTCATAGAAATATTAAACAAGTGTGCCAATACTTTTGTTTCGTCGAAAACTGTCCTCTGTGTATTTCTTACTATTTTTCATTATTGCAGGTCTACTTAAACGCTTTGTTTCGCGAGATACTTAAAGTTCAAACCTCAAACTTATATTTTACTAGCGTGCCCTGTCTCGGGTCGCCCGACCTTGTGCAAAAGCAATTTATGATCAGACGATCGTCCTGACATATACACTGTGGAGCATAACTATAGCACCACTATAATTTTCAAGAGTTTTGTAGTTGTAACTGATGATTTCTAAATGTTAATAATACCACGTGAAAAGGACTAGAAAAAAATTATAATCAATGGAAAAAATACAAAAGTAACATTTATTTAACACGAAGTATAATAATAAATGAAATATTGCAATGGTGCGTAACTATAGCACCAATGTATTTGGAACGTAATAATAAGGTTAAATGGCTATAAAGTGTTAAATTTCTAATTCAGTTTATTAAACTGAGCAGTTTCGATAATGAGTAGGACCTCCTTTTTTATGTATTAATTCAAAAATACGATTGTTCGTACTTGTAATGAGTTTTTTTAAAGTTTCTTCGCTAATTTGATTCCACGCTTCGATAACTGCTGTTTTTAGCTCCGAAATGTTCGAAAATTGTCGATTATTTCCATAAATATGCCGTACCATGATACCCCATAGGTTTTCAATTGGATTTTGGTCGGGGGAGCATGCAGGCCATTTCAATACATTGACATGAAACGTTTCAAACTGTGGTTTGTCGGATATTATGGATCGGAGCATTATCTTGTCGATAAGTCCATGAAATGTGATTGTTCGCACGAATAAAAGGCAATAAATGATTTTCGAGTATTCCAATATACTCCGCGCTATTAATTCGTGTAGTTGGAAAAGCTAATCCGAGCTTGCCACAGGAGCAGAATGCACCCCACACGATAAGTGTCCCTCCACCGAAATTACGTTTCGAAAAGTATTTTTGTTCTTTACGAAGCTCCCTCCAATATGAATCAAATCCATCCGGACCGTCCAAATTGAATTTTTTTTCGTCAGAGAAAATAACCTAAGTTGAGTAAAGAATATTGAATATGAAGCTAAAAATCTCGATTTACGAATGTCTAAACTTAACTTACATTATTCCAATTTCTGCTCATGTTTTCTCGTGCATCGTCAAGCCTGGCTATTTTCTGACGTTTCGGAAGTGTAGGTGCGGACATCATTTTTTGTCTTATAATGTTTGAATTATGTTTAAGGACACGTTGGACAGTCCAACGAGAAACGCCGAGATCACGTTCCTTCGCAATTTATTTACAGCTTTTTAACGAATTGCTCGCAACTTTAGCAATTTGCCTTTCAGTACGAGGGGATAACTTCTTCTTCGGTCCCCCTTTCTTATTTTTCCCATACTTAGTAGGATCGCGTAAAAAATTCAATACAACTTTATGAGATCGGCCGAGTTTACGTGCGATTTCACGTATCCCCATTTTTTGCTCTCTGTACGCTGAAATTGCACCTTGCTCTTGTTCATTAAGCTAGCTGCCACGTGGCATTGTATCAATTAACTAAGAATTCCCGGGTTTACTAAAAAAATTCCAACAGAAACCCTTGAAGTGCGTTAAAAATGAACCGGTTCTATCGTTTAGCACCGATCGTCAAACGTTTATCGATTAAATCTTGACATATAAATAGACAACTTCAATGAATTTCACCTAAAATCCATTATTCACGATGCTTTTTCGTACCATATAATTGGTTGTTTCAAATTATTTTCTTACAGGTCGGAAATGTTAAAAATTTTAGTGGTGCTATAGTTATGCTCCGCAGTGTATATCCGCGATAATGCAATTCTCTCGCGAGAAAGCGCTCGAGAAGCTTCGCCACCTGGCGGTGACATCGCAGTAGTGCTACGGGCGAGGTATCGCGCGGGCCGAATACGCGCATGCGCGCGCAAGTAGACTGTCGTATACAGGGGTCGCGTGGTCTGCCAAACAGTCGTACACATGAAATCTTTGCATATAAATTACATGTTAATAACGCGCTTCTGAGACATGCTACATAGCATATGTCCGTCCTAGAGTATGCAGGAATAACGTGTCAAAATTTGAGGAAGATCGGTTCAATAGGTCTTGAGTTTCGCGCGAACATAAAAATCGGCTCTCTCTTTATATAATAGTATAGATACCAAAAATAAAGAAGACATTGTGCTTTATTCACAGCTGCGTAACATTTTATTTGAAAATACGCTCTGTGCCAGTACTTTTGACCAGTACTGCAACGTAAAGCGCCATCTTGCGGCCATAACGTGCCACAATAACTTATTCCCACAAAGTATTAGTTTTTTTCAGAAATTTGTATTACTTTGTACAAATTCTACTGATAAACTACAGATTGTTGGTTATTTAGCATTTACAATATACAGTATTCCTCGAATTATTGCAATTTTCTTCTCCCCACTCTGTTCCCTCAGACCCAGTCACGTCGACCATACTTTTACGTAAAAGGTATCGTGTTTCTGTATGAGACAAATTGGAAAACCGAGAAACCGTATGCAATGAACATTTATCAAAGTAAAAGATTTTTTATTTTCCACGATGTTGTCATGAAAATAATATTAGCAGACAAGTGAGGTTCTTGTAATTTAAAATGATTCCAAACACGACCATATTTGGACAAAGTACTGCTATTTCGATATAAATTTTCGTTTCTTTCATTTTCTTAAATTCGGATCCGATTTTTTGCTGTGCAGAATAGCAAAAAAAAATGATTTGATGAGAGGTATCACAATAACGGAACATTGATGCAACTTTCCATTTTACGAAGTGAGAGGGGGCCCCCCTTTTCCCCCTTCAGTTGCTCCACAGAAATTGTGCTACGAACTGAAACATTTGGTTCTTCTGGACCATTTAATTAAGAAAACAAATGAAGTATCTTTAATAGATTCTGAGAAAACAGTTTATAACGCTTTATTTGGTGCACCCTGTATATCAATTAATTTTTAAATTAGAATGTTTTATTTTTCATAAGACACACGAGAAAAGATTACATAATAATAATGGATAGAGATTTATCAAGAAAATCTCATCTTTCTATATTTAATATGGTAAATTGTTTTCGATTACTGACATAATATTTACCTGATTTCGTTTTTATTCTATCGACTAAGAGAGTCGTTGAAAATTCTTGAATCAAGGACGCGCCATTTGCTAACGTGGTTTCACTTTCTAACTTTTCGAACAATCAAACGATTCTTGTTTTCCATGTAAAAATAAATGTTTCTATATAACAAGAAAACAATTATACAGTTAATGTGTACGTGCATATTATTGATAACTTTTAATATTAATTATTATAATAGTCAAGAATTATAATTGAATGTTTTCTTTATAAATACTGAACAGAAGCTGAAACTTAAGCTAGAAATATTTATTTTTAAGAAATAATATACTTGTATACAGTGATTCAACAATTATTCATTTTTTATCAAATTTAAATTTACTTTTTCGAGTAAACTCACACAT